CGGCGCGCCAATGACAGGGCATACGACAACGCCCCTTCTCCAGCTCAGCAGCCGCACGCGAGGGGTGCTGCCGTGGCGCGTGTTGCTACGCTTTTCTCCAGACAGGTGGTCTCAGCGGAAGGAACCCGCTGTCGGAGGACGCTCACGGTGTGAGACGTTCCAGCGCTTCCAGGCTGTGATGGCGAAATAAATGTAAGGTAAGACCGCGAGCTGGAGGGAGCCGCAGGGCAACAGCACACGCGGATGTGTGAACTTCCGCAGTCGTGTGAGGTGTGCTTCACAAGCACGGCTTTTCACGGACGATTGCCATGGCGAACGCGTGCGTGGCGTGTGGCAGTACGTGCTCTGTTTGGCATCTGCCAATGGAGGAGGACGGCCGCTGTCGTCGCTTTGTTCCCCAGAGGTCCATTTGCCTAGTAGTTTTGTCTCTACTGCGTTCGCCGCTTCCTTGTGCGCCAGGCGCGGTGGGTTGTTGCAGCTTTGGTCTTGTGCCCTTCTTTCTCTACGGCAGAGTTCAGGTTGCCTGTGTTTGTGTTGGCGCATCTGACTCGTTTCCTTGGCGGCTTTTGTGACGTGAAGTGCTATCTTTTTTTTGGCGGACGTGTGCTGACGGTTAGCCATGTGGCTGCGTGGTGGGAGAACGGCGTGACTGCTTCTGCTCTGTCCACATGAGGGCTCCTGTTTGTGGCGGCTGCCTCACTTGCTGCATCTGCTGTAGGAGGTCGCTGCTGCTCGTTTGGAGCCTGTTTGTGAGCTAGGTGGTCATATTGCAGTGTTGCTTTTCTGCTGCCCGATGCCTGCACATGTTTGCCCTAGTTTTCAGTATGCGTGCGTGCGTGCGTGTGTGTGTGTGGCGGATCTGTGTAGTTTCTTTTTTTCCCCTCTTATTTACACGTTTTTTTTTCATTTATGCGTGCCTTGCGGAAGAGCTAACAGAGTTGCAACCAAAGTGATATCACTCAGCGGGGAGAGTTGCGGGACTAGCGGCGGTGACATGCCTCTGGAGTCCGTAGTTCCAGCAGTGTGTCTTGCGGTTGTGGCTGCGCTCTGCGTCGTGACTGTGTCGGCGCAGCGGGTGGATGTGGTGCCCCTGCAGTCAGAGTTCACTGCAGTGGTGTCAGGTGGGCAGTGGCCACGCGTTTTGTTTCGTCTGCGCGAGAACAGCCGCCGTAACTCATCGCTGCCGTCCTCCGCCACCGGCGCTTCCGTTCTCAGCGGTGCGTTGACGCAAATGCTTGCCACGGCGCTGAATCCCGCGCCGCACAACACCGCACATCCCTCGACGACCGGCGTCATAGCAGTCTTTCTCACAGGGCCACTGCTGGCGTCACGCGGGGCGCTGCAGGCAAGCTTTGCGGTGGTGCGCATGGTGGGGGCTGGCTCGCTCGCCGCAGGCGATGCCTCGCTTCTTGCGCAAATAGAGGGGGCCGATGTGGCGGAGCTGCGCTCTGTCTACAAGGCCAACGGCGGCAGCCCGATGGACGACGTCGCCGTGCATGCTGTGCGGCAGGTGTACGTGGGGGACGAGCGGTGCAGCGAATCTTGCGCGTGGGCTGTTGGTGTCGCTGCTCCACTACTTGCCACGGCGCTGTTGCTCATCCCTACGTTTATGTCTGTTGTGCACCTGGAGCGTGGCGGGACGGGACCGGAGTTTGTGCTTGTGGCGAGCCACTATAATGGCGACGAGGATCAAGAGATAAACGAGTTCGCCAATTGTGCGGACTGGGGCCCGGTGAAGCTGGTAGATCCCGACTTGCTGCGGCAGCAAAAAGCGGCGAGGAGTGTGGCGCGCCCGGATGGGCTTGTTGTGGTGCAGCACGAGGTGGTGGAGGCTCCGAGCCAGAGTTGGCAGGGCGCGGGCTGCAACACTGTGAGTTTGTAGGGGCCAGAGCGGGTGGGAGGGAAAGATGGGCTTTGCGGGGAACTGGGCTTCCCCACGGCAAACAAAATCTCAAATGCCTGGTGTGTGTACGCGCCACTCACTGGAAACGAGCGTGCAACTGTTAACCTGACGGGCGGCCAAGTATGCTTCTCTCCACATGTACATTTGCGCGGCTGCATGCATATGTGCACCGCAAAACTGAATTGCTCACGCTGGGCGGCATTTCTCGCATTCATCGGGAGACATGAGTGGGCGCGTTCGCTGGGCCCACGCATCCTGTATGTACATTTTTTTAGTTTAGTTTAGTTTAGTTTTATTTTGTTTTTTTTTGTTCTGCCGCCGCCGCAAACGTGGCGATTGCCTCGCCGTGAAGTCGTCGACGATGCATCCGCGTACTTCCCTTTTCGTGTCACACCTCGTTCGCTGCTGGTCAGGCTTTAGTTGTTCCTTCGCTGGCTCCCTGTGGCTTGACGCCGTCCAGTGCCCAATCGCGCCCCTCCATCTCCCGCTGCCGAACTCTTGCGCTCAGCCCCGCCTCCAAGCAGCACGGCGCGCCAATGACAGG